GTAGTCGTCGTCTCTCTCTCTCTTCTCTACTCTCTCTCTCTCTCTTATTATTATATATATATATATATATATATATATATATATATATATATAGTGAAGACAAAATATAGAGTGTGTCAAATTCAAAACATAGTTGAATCAATCCCATTAGTCCCTCTCCACTTTATGAGTGGGGCATAAATAAATATTCTCAAAGATCATAAGTATGGGGAATGATGATGTCTTACCCAATTTTTGGTTGAAACTACTTCTCTCTTACATAGTGTTTTGATGAGATAAGCTTGCATTTGAATTTGAATTCAAAACAACAAGTGGTTTTGATTATAGATTTTAATCTCATTCAAATTCAAAATACCCTACTAATTTAATTTAAACTTGAAACAATCAAGATTTGCACGATTTCCATGAGAGAATCAAATGAATATGGTTATCTGTCGTTGATCAAACCTATAGAATGCTCCATTATATATGAGTATAACCAATGCTGCTATTTAATGACAGATCCTTTCAACTTGAAATTTTGCATGGTGACAGAGGATTCAAAGAGGAGTGGAGTGGTCCACTTAGCTTAAATAGACCAATAATGAGTGAGATATAGTTCGTCGAAGTTGACCCATTTATGATGCTGATTGTTATAATAGATCTAAGGACTACAAGTTCAACTGCTTTTGTTATAGGGGCTTTAGACACTGGGGATTTGATAAACATGTATCAGACCTCATGATGCATATCTCCACAAAATTTGGGGCTAAAATGCTCTCTATCTTGAGAGATACTAAGGACTGTCACTCAAACTTTTTCACAATTTTATCACTACTATTGCAAAGCTAACGACTCTCCCATAGAAAACCCATAGGGTACCTACCCTTACATGGTTGATAGAGCTTTGAGTCAGGAATCTAATGGTCCAAATACCATGGAAGGACTCCTTTTAGATTAGGAGGAATCTTAAATTGGTGATTGTAGGTCATCCTGGTTGCATAACATACTGGCAGACGACAGATACAAGTGTTGGCTGCTGACAGGTATAAAGGATGGGTCAAATCGTCTCCAAACAATTTGAAATTAGCAAAGAGATATTATGCCTCATGTATGATTTGCCTAGAGTTTTAGATGATTCCCCAAGTATCATGTTGGGTTTGTCGATTAGGGCATATCTTGGCTGCCAATGGATTTGGGTGATGAATAAAAAGATGTCCAATTTGTATGATTTTTGGACTGAATATATATAAGAATTCATTAAGCATATCTATATATTTCCACTTCATTTAGATACAAAACATATCTAAGAATATCCAAACTCCTCTAATATTGTGTGGAGTGGTATATAGGGGCCATGAGAATATAAATCCTAGAATTGGTCTCAAGTTGAGATGGTTTGATTAATCTCTTATAGTCGGTCGATCGTTAGTTAATAGAGCAGAATGGTAGACCAAGATTCGTGTGGCTGACTCCAATTAATTAGAAAAAAGCTATGATAATGATAATGAGTCGGCCAGTCGTCAAGATGCATAATAACTGACTGCCAAACAACTAACATAATAATAACATCCAAAGTAAATTAATTTCAGATTAGATAGTCTATTTTAGATAAAATTAATCGTCTTCTAAATCGGCCCTAAAGTTGTACTTGAAATTTTTATTGGTATTGAAAATCCCTATTATTGTGGGCCAGAATAGATTGAGAGAGAAATCTAAAAATTGATGTTATACTTCAGCAATGACCACATATATACTAATATCTCAAAATTACAAATAGTTTTGAACTAAAATTTTTTATATGTCAATTACGCTTAAGTTTTCTAGGACTCAAACTTTCATTACAGTTTGATGTACCATTATCACGAACTACCTCATTTAAAATTCATGTTTTTTGAAACTTGGAAAACAACAACATAGAAAACAACCATGGAGTTAGTGAAAACCGACACTGTGTGCCTTTAATAGTCTTGGAAGCCTTGCAAGGTCTGAAGCCCATACGAAGGGAGGTTCAAAGCAAATTTTATTTGGACTTAATGTTAATACTTCATTTCTATCTAGTGGTTAACCAAGTATGGTGAATGAGAGTTCTTAGAGGACACACAAGATATAACCATCCTTGTCCTTGGCATATTTCCTTAAGCTTTAAAGTGGTTTTTTTCATACCAAAATTTTATCTTCTATGATATATTTTGTCCTTTCCCATTGATCCTAGAGGCAAGAAACATGTTGCCATCACTGCTCCATCTAATAGAATGTTGCTTCTTCATGTTTCATGCAAGTGACCCTTGATCAACATATCATGCCTCTTCCCATACTAGTATTGATTGACTTCCTTCCCAAGGGATAGCTAGTTCTAGATCAACTGCCTTTGTCCAGGGTCTTTTTTATTCTCTAAGGACTAATAAGGTATGTCACTCAAGTACATTGAGCACCAATTCTACTTAAGTTGAGAGATAGTTAGGGATCTTGATAATGATAGTTAGGGACCTTGATCAGTCTTTCTAGCTTGAAGTCATTGATATTGGCTCGATACATGTGATAAGAGCAGTTAAATGCCCAAAATAGTTATCACCAGGTTGGTTTTTACCGAAGTTGGTTCCAGTCAAAGTTTGCTCCCTCCAAATATACTGTTTTCTCTCATACAAAGAGAGAAACTCTCTCTATGGATCCTAATCTTACTGCCTATCCAAATACTTGATGATTGCTCATGAAGCCAAATAAATGAATTTGTATTTTACACAAGGCAAACATGTGTACTTTTTATGAGTCATTCACCAAGGGCTTGCACATATCTTATTTTCAATAAATGCACCCTGAGGGCTTACTGAACGCCTTTTATAGGTTGTGCCTTGCGGTTAAGCTTAAAAGGCCATCCTTCACCAGCTATAGGGACTCCCTTTCATGTTCAAAGACACGAAGATCATAGGTCCTTTTCCCATCCTAGGCAAGTCATTAAGGTTAATGTCCACTCTTCTATTGTATGCAAAATTTAGGTTTTATAAAGCCACTGGGTATGAACCATGTTTCCGGTATGTTGAGTCATGGAGGGCCTTGGGCCTTGGCTACTATCTGGAATACACCAATAATTATAGTTTGAAAATCTATTTCTACGACCGATTATGAAATTTGAAGCTTTACGATTTTTTGGCACTTGAAAATAATGTGCTACAAGATATACTAATTTTTAGAGCTTGAAACCTTTTTTTTTTTTAAATATTCATGATTGTTGAGGCAAATACAATTGGTTTGAGGATCACCTGATTGAAACTAGAATTTTGGACAGGATTTTGATATATGCCTTTGCTTCTTTCATAAAGCCAAGGCCTTGCGTCAAGCTTTTTCTCTTCCACACGACCTTACCGAAACATTTTACCCTTTCAAAGGCTGTATTTGATAATGGGAAGTTATAGGGAGGAAGAGGAACATTCCATGGTATTGTTTCGCTTCTGCATTGGATAAGTTGAAGAGATACAGCAAACTCAAGTTCTCTCTGCCCCTTTGTAGGCCAAAAAAGGGAACATAAAGCTTAAGTCTAAAAGCATGGAAGTTGATTCAAGAATTTTCCCGAAAGAAAAGAGGAAGTTTGGCTCGATAAAAAAACCCATCTATCCACGCCCTAAACCCATTTGCTCTTCTTCCATCAGGCTCGCCCTAGCCCTTTGCTCTTTGTCCCTATGCATCCGCCTCACCACTCCATGCCTCCCACGCCTCCGCCTCATCCAACCAAGTACTTCTATCCTCTCTCTCCCTCACTCCGTAACCCTCTCTCCTATTCTCTCTCTCTTGCAAGATAAACAAAAGAGGATCCTGAACCCTACCATTTGGGATCATAACCAGATTTGGAATAGTAGTGGTCACATTCCATGTCCTATTTCTCAAAATGAATAAATTGGGCCCTATTTACTGATTGAATAATATGAATGCCCATCTGGAAAAATAATATATTTCATTACTTTTATTAATTTTATTTGGTTTTTAGGATAAAATAGTTATCAACATATGGGCTTTTCTAAATAATATTTGGTTATTAAAGAAGAAAACATGCTTATTTGGTTTCTATATATACTTGGATCAATGTCTCATCATATGCAATGGGTTTTTATCGGCGTCTCTGAAAACTAGCAACAAGCATGCAACACACTACACACTCTCTTCCATTTAGCACCAATAACGTATTAGTACTTTTTGATCATTTCAACCGATTGTAAAAAGCAGAATAGGGTTGGGTCATTGTGCTCTACTTAAGGTCTAGACTTCTATTATCACCTAACGCATTAAAAAACCACTAACAATTTAAAAAACGAATAAAGACTCGTTTATCTTAAAAAACAAAAAAAAAAATCTCCATAGACCTCATTTTCAACTTTTATTTCTCTATTGACCCAAGGTTGTAAAACCTATCTTACTACATAAAATTTCACTCTATTATATCTCATAACCCTTTTAACATATTTTATTTATTTATTATTAATTCTTTTGACTCAAATAAACTTAAAAAAAACATTGTGTTTTCAAGCTTCTCTTTACATGATTCCTTTTCTCAACCCCCGACTACTTCCATTTTATTACCAAAAAGTCACATACAGCCATTAAAACACAACAAAAGACGCCACACGTAACCAGAAAACATACACAAATGAACACCCTCCTTCTCTTTCTCTCTCTCTCTAACACATGTCTCTCTACTCAACCCCATATTTCTTCTTGAGAATCCCCACAAACTCGAGGGCCTTCTCAGGGTTCTGCAAAGCCTTTGAAACGCTCTCCTTCTCCATGCAACGCTTGGCCCAAGCATCATTTTTGGGGCGCTCAGCTGCAACACTGAACCCACCATAGACCTCATAGACATGTAACCAGCAAACAAAAGGCACCACGGCAACGTCCACGAGCCCTAATTTCTCCCCTCCAAAGAAGGGCTTGTCACCCAAGGCGCCCTCCAAGATCTTCAGGTTTTCAATGAATTCTTTCACTGCCGAGGCCTGAGCCTCGCCCTTGCTTTTCTCTCTCTAAAAAAAATTTTCTCTAAAAACTCACTGCTAGCTCTCTCTCTCTCTAAAAAGGATATGTGTTGATTCGAACCTCCCAAACATCTCTCTCTATCTACCACCACCAGCACCTCCTCCAAAACCTCGTCCAGCGCCACTGCCACCCCCCACCACCACCAGGGCTCCGACTGAGAGAAGGTCGGTAAGAAGAAGAAGAAGAGGGGTTCTTAGCGTGACGAGTCTAGAGAGAGAAAATATGAGGAGAGCGATTGAAAATGTGAGGGGAGAGAGAAAAAAAAAGCGTATTTTTTAATTTGTTTGGATTAAAATTTGGAATAAAAATAGATCAAGTTATTTGGGGGTTTGAAGATAGGTGTTGAAATTTTGAATTTAAAAAAAAAATAAAAGTTGAAAACAAAGCCTATGGAAATATTTTTTACCTAGAATTTTTAACATTCCATGGAACTACCTTAAATACCCATAAAAAAAAAAAAAAAACCAAGGGTAAACATAGATTTTTCTTAACATTCTAGCGAACTACCTTATGATAGCTTTCCGCTTCCCCGCAGAACTTCTAAATTTCAGAAAGCATTTACCTTCCCAAAAATAAAAACGCCAATGTAATTTGCGGACCCAGGAGCATGAACCCATGCGCCGATGGGGCCCATTAAAACTATTCATGTTTGTGCTGGACGGTTCAGATTCGGGCTCCATTGGCCACCCACCAATCTAAGACGTCCATTGGAAGGTCTCCCAACTCTAAGCCTTGGGGGTTTGGCCTGAAGTAGTACACGTGTGAGTCGTCCATTGGTTGTTACACGCGTCCTAATGGTAGAAGCGCTGCTCATTTGGAACAAAGTGGACGCCCGTTGCGTTTTGGGGAGAAAAGAAAAGAGAAGAAAGAGATGACACAGAGACACAATCGAGTCTAGAGAGAGAGAGAGGGGTCTCGAAATTCACCAATCGAGCTAACAGAGAGAGAGAGAGAGAAGAGAGATCTTGAAGACATAACGGAGAGAGAAAGGTAATGGCGTTGGGGTTCTTTACGGTGCTAGTACTACTCTTAGCTTACAGCACAGACGCTCTTTATGGGCCCTCTTCTGATGTCCTGATCCTTAACCCCTCCAATTTCAAGTCCAAGGTCTTACTCGTCTCTCTCTCCCTTATTCTGCATTATCTAGTTTCCTGGAGGGCTTGTTGTCTATGTTTTGGAATTTCTCAGCTCGCCCTCTAATGCTTATTTGGGAAACCCATTTTTGAGAGCTCTTTCTTTTTTTACCTTTTTTTTTTTGAATGTTGTTGTTTTGGAAAATTCATTTGTCGTACACGTTAAATCTTTTAAAATGATACTCTTTTGCTGCTGTTCTCTTATGATTTTGATTTCTTTTTGGGTCACAAGGGTGATCATTGCTGCAAAATCGGGCAAAACACTTTGATCTGCTGACTATGTGAATCTTTAACGGAGGATTCTATGTTTTTATGGATTTTAGTGCAGAAAGAGTGAATATTGTGTATCTTATTGCAAAAATGAATGCATATGAACCTTTACAGGAAATGATTGCGAAGTCTCATCTCTTAACTGTTGTCAATGTTCAACTTCTATGCAGAAGTTTGTGTAGTTTGCTCTCTCTCTCTCTCTCTCTCTCTCTCTCTCGCTCTGTTATCTCTCCCCTCCTCTCTTGATATCACATGGCCTCAAGGTTGTATCTTTCAATTAATAGCCAAGATGTGTTGGGCATGGGCGTTGCAGGTTTTGAATTCCAATGGTGTTGTGTTAGTTGAATTTTTTGCTCCGTGGTGTGGACACTGTCAAGCTTTGACACCTACATGGGAGAAGGTGGCAACAGTGTTAAAGGGTGTAGCCACTGTTGCAGCTCTTGATGCAGATGCTCATAAATCCCTTGCTCAGGTATACTACCTTGTACTTATCATTTGATCTGTGCGTACCTTCTTGGTTGTATTTGTTAAAGCATTAGACATGGTGACTGAATTTATGTTTCTAACTTCTTTTAGTGTACAATGCATGCTTAGTTGGCTATCTTGGGCTTTTGCTGATTAACTTCAAGCGACAACCCAACACTCTCCTTATTGTTATTGCACAAATATCATGCATAACTTTATGGCCATAACCCATGAGCAGATTATATGAGAAAACAAATAGGTTGAAGCTTTGAACTCCCTTAGTTAGTTTTATTCTTGGATTACAAAATGATAAATGCGCATATTAGAAGTGAAGGGACTTACCTGGTGTTGAGATGACTTTATTATCATGGATTTGGCATGTGCTGGGGAAGGCATTTGGAGTGTTTTTGTAGCAACCTATATGACCAAACTCGTAGATTCACTTGTGGTTGATACCCATTAAATGGAATTTTGACCTCAGAGATACGTATTTGGGAAAGTTTGAGGTCAGCCATCTAGCTGACAGCTACAGTAAACACCAAGTTGCCTAAATTGAATTTTGGCCGATCCAATGGTCATGATTGCATTTTTTATTTGAATTTGAATTTTTTACAAATCCAAATTACTTGAAATTTGGATAATTTATTTTTAATAAATACGTGAATCTAATAAAAATATAAAAAAATAATTCACAAATTTAAGGGTATTTAGTCAATTTAGTTTTGTGAATTATTTTTTTAAATATTTTTGTTATGCGTCTTGATGAGAAGAGTGGATACCTCAAATTTCATATTAATTGGATTTGTATAAAAAATGATTGAAATTCATTTATGAAATACAGTCATAATTGGGCCATCGGCCTAGATTCAATTGGGTCATTGGGTTTATACTATTTCATCAACCCATGGGCTGACAAGATCTTTCCCTCTACACACACACACCCTCTACACACACACACACACACACACACACACACACACACACTACTGCTTGAGAAGTTTAAGGCGAAGGGAAAAGACCTCCACATGGTCTTTATTGATCTAGATAAAACTTATGATATAGTACCTCGATATTTGATTTGACGGGTGTTGGAATAGAAATGCGTCTCTAGACACTATATTGACTTGGTGAAATATATGTACGCTGGAGTGCGAACTAGTGTACGAACAAATAGTGGAGAGACGAGTGAGTTTTCAATGATAATAGGTCTATATTAAGGGTCAACATTGAGCCTGTACCTCTTTGTCTTAGTTATGGACGGCTTAACTAGGCACCTACAGGATGAGGTACTATGGTGCATGTTTTTCGTGGATGACATAGTTTTGATGGATAAGATTCGAAAAAGCGTTAACACAAACTTAGAACTTTGGAGGGATGCTATATAATCCAAAGGTTTTCAAATTAGTCAAACAAAACAGATTATATGGAGTACAAGTTTAGTAATAATAGGAGTAGAGACGAGGAAGCAGTTAAGATTGATGGTCAGGAAGTACAAAAAAGATGGCACTCTTGATATCTTGGGTCAATAATCTAAAAAAATGGAAAGGAAGATTTCACGCACAGAATTAGAGTTGGGTGGGTTAAGTGGAGATGTGCAACTGGAATTTTATATGATCGCCTCATACCAATGAGGCTGAAGGGCAAGTTTATAGGACAACGGTGAGATCATCTTTGTTCTATGGGGCGGAATGTTGGGTGGACAAAAAATAATATACCCATAAAATGAGTATAGTGGAGATGAGGATGTTGAGATGGATGAGTGGCAAGACAAGAAGGGATAAAATTCGAAATGAATCTATTCGAGGGAATTTAAGCGTGGAACCAATAGGCGATAAAATGAGAGAGAGTAGACTTAGGTGGGCTGGTCATGTGTGGCACCGACCAAGTACAACACTTGTTAGGAGGTTTGAGTTAGTTCAAGTGGAAGGACTGACAAGGGTAAGGGGTAGGCTCAAAAAGACGTGGTTGGAAGTATTTTGAAAAGATATAGGGATTTATGGCCTTTCATAAAGCATAATGGAGAATTAAGATTCATGTAGTTGACCCCAATTAATTGGGAAAAAAGGTAAAATGATGATGATGATACACACACACACACACAAGGTTGCATCCTTAAACAATCAAAGCAAGGCGTACCCCCAAATTTTATCATAAGATGTAATTTTGTTTGTAAAAAATTCTTAAGAGAGCCTGAGAATCTATTTTCATCTCTAATTATAAAATTTTAAACTCCAAAAATGGTTTAAATTATGGAGATCTATAATCATATGAAAACCTTGAAAATGGATGGTATAGACAATGTGTTGTAAGATGCATTATGTTTAGGACTCTATATATATATATATATATATATATCTATTATTGCCATCTCGGTGTTGATATGATCAATTGCGGGGTTTGCCAACATCAAAACAGCTATTTCTGATGGATTTTTAAGGTGCACCTTTGCTCTACAGTTTTAAGGTTACAAGCTCCTACATATATATATATGCTCACATTGGTAGATTCCCTATGACATCAGTTCCTCACCATCTTAACCTTATTAGCTGCTAGAGCGTGTCACTTTTTTGTGTTTACGTCCTTTTAATGCTATATAAATTTAGGAGTGGATTGTTTACCCATTCACTTTATATGTATGCATGGCTTGTTGCATTTCTGCTGAACTTGGTTTTTATACATATTTTTGATAGTTATTTGTGTTACTTATTTCTTTGAAGCTGTTTGATGAAGATCTGCTCCACTTGCCTGGTTGTTCTTGTAATAAGTTCTACCTCAACTATACCCTACTAAATCCCAAGTGGCCCTCTCTAACGAACAAGTGGTGTGCTTCTCGCTAATTTGAAAGCCCTCCTTATCCTCATGCCCACTTACAGATCGACAATTATGCCACCTACCAGGCATTAAATTTTGTCCACGAATTACCACTTCAAATGAGTTTTGTCCCAAGAAGAAAAAACAAATGGGTCCTAGTTTTTATAATAATTCTGATGGCCTTGATTGGTTTTGTGTTTCTTCTTGATCCAGTTCTTTAGAAAATTGATATCCAGTAGAACTAGGAAATTATTTTGCTATCAGGCAATGTTTTAAGACCTCTTATTTGTCTTGCCGTGCTTTGTTCATGTTAATGTTATTGAAATCATCTTCTTCGGAGCTACCATTTCTCCATCCCCTCCATTTTCACTAGTAGCAGTCTTGTATTACCTTAACTTCCTCATCGTCTAGGAAATTCTATTTCAATTCTCTTGTTTATCATCCACCTGAATAGTCTTACTTGTCTCCCTTTCCTAGTCTAAAATACTATCAAACAGCCCCCTTGTTAGTTCCTCTAGACTGATAACTTCGTTTGTCACTACTTATGTCCTTCCTTTTTCACTACTTATGTCCTTTGTTATGCATTTTAACCACCTTAAACACTTGGAACCATAGTTATCGTGATCACCTACTTTGGTAGGCGATCCCTTCTAGGATCTCAATCTTGTCACTCCCAGAACGGATCTCTTAGGGATCTCGATTTTTGAATTTTGTGATCTTGATTCCTGCTGTTAGGGATCTCAATCCCAACTCTAAAGACCAAGACAACAACCAAACTGACAATTTTTTTTGTTTATAGCCAGCTAGTGGCACAACTATACTTTTAATATAGTTGGATAACTTGTTTGTTATAAATAATGAGATACCTACTTTAAAGAGCATACATAATCTTAGATTATCATGCACTTTAAGGTTGGTAGCAAGATCCCCAAAAAGTTGGGATCAAGATCCCAAAAGGTTGAGATCAAGATCCCCAAAAGGTTGGAATCTCGATCCTTAACATTTGGGCATCTCGATCCCTAACATGTGCATTGTATGGACAAAGCTCCTAACTAAAGAAATCTTTTAGCATTTCACCATTCCCCGGTCCCGATCCCGGTCCCGGTCCCAGATCCCGATCTTGATCCCCGTAACCATTCTTGCTCCTGATCCCAACAACTATGCCTTTAACCATAGCTGCTCGGATCTCCCAACCTAGGTGGTGACCCTTTCTTAAATCTTGCTCTGACCCTCCAAGAAAGGAATCTTCTAGGGATTTTTTAATATTGTGATCGTGATCCCCGTTGTTAGGGATTTTGATCCATACTGTTAAGGATCTAACCCCCAACTTAAAGACCAAGATAATGACCAAACTGATAATTTTATTCATTTATAGCCAGCTAGCAATGTAACTATACTTTTAATATAATTGCATTGCTTGTTGGCTATAAATAAAGAAATCCTTACTTTAAAGATTATGTAAGTCCTAGATTATATATGCACTTTAATGTTGGGAAAAAAATTACCCAAAAGGTTGGGATCAAGATCCCAAAAAATTGAGATCGAGATCGAGATCCCCAAAAGGTTGGGATCTTGCTCCCTAACATTTGGGGTTCTCTGTCTCTAATATAACTTTTCTATTGTTGATGTTTCTAACCACAGGGATCTTCTAGCCTTTCTTGATCTCTGGCTCTCGATCCTACTCTTGATCCCAACAACTATGACTTCAAAGTTCAATGAAATTAGGTCCATACATGCTCGTTTCCTCAAGGTGTCCCCTAGGGAATCCTAGTTTCTGTCCCCTTAGCTAGCATCCATTGTTTTGATCACTGCTATTTGAGTTCTTTGCGACCCTATGTCCAATATGTGCCTCTTTTTGCCTTTCTTTAGTGACATGAGACAAATCCAAAGTCCCTGCCAAGGATTTTAAATCACCACTTCATAACAATGAGGATAGCCCTTGTAGGCCCAATCATGCTAGCAAAATCACCAAACCTGGGATGACAACGAAGAAACTTTAAGCTTCAGGCACTTATGTTGAAACCATCGCAGCAATTGCTTGTTTCAACAAGAAACAAGCAGACAACAGTCTTTGACCACAAAAGCATAACATTTTCATTGAGAAAATAATAAGCAGAAAAAATAGTCTCACATGTAAAGACGATTGATTGCTTGATGCACGGAGATTCTGCATAGAGGAAACTTTGAGGATTTTGCTCTGGAATGTATGAAAAGAGAGAGTTTGGCTTCTGGCTGCTGTACCCTTCTGAAATCTAAATCGTGAATCCTAGTAGTGCTTCTGATTACTGTGATGGTTTAAGTGGTTTATCTATAGAAAACTCCACCCTAGGACTCATTTTGTTATGACTGTGACCAGTATTCTTGAATTTTTCTACAGAGGAAAGTCATTTTCAAATATTTGGTTTTCTAGACCAATAACGATGTATTTGAACCCTTATTGCTGGAACTTATTTGGCTAAATAGCTCGACCTTCCCAAGGGCGGTTTCCCTTTCGACAGACAAACTTTGCCCGCTTAGAATGGTGGTGAATCACGAGTTCTGATCTGTGGCCTTGACTCTAGAAAGGTCAAAATGTCAGCTTATGCACCTCCTTAATTTTTCTTGCTGATAGGTGACATATCAAAGTATCAATCTTGTCGCATTAAAAGCCTCTATCCCTAATTACTATTATGTTCCATGTTTCAGTGGTCAATCAGTGGAGAAAGGGTGTTCGTGTTTGTTGGACTAGTGGATGAATATTTCACTTTAGAAAAATTGATTTCAGACTGAGACTTTGTACACCTAGGGGCTGTTGGTTACCAGGTGATCTATCTTAAAGTAGAATGGCATTTCAAGTGAAGTTTTGACTTTCTACATCTCTAAACCTTGATTGTCTAAACATCAGGGCTTCACTGTCAATGCTAACAGTAGTTACTTCATGCACAGGATAATATTTTTTATTGATTCAGTGATATGTAGGGCTTTTAATTTTAGTTATCACTTTTTATAGCTTAATCTGCATGTGATGTTTCAAATGTGATTTAGGATGTTATGGGAATTGTTTCACAAAGATTTAATTGTGCTGATTACAATAATGTGCTTTTCATATTTTTTATTGTTTTTAATAGGTAGTGTGGTCACTCTCTGGATATGGTTTGCTTGACATCATTTGAGCTACCTTTTTGTTGAATCCATTTGACATAGCTCAGAACCATTCCATATTGCAAGAACAAATATTTAGCCAATGCCTATTATGTTGACGTCCTACATTGTAACTTATGTAGGAGTATGGGATCAGAGGTTTTCCAACTATAAAGGTGTTTTCTCCTGGTAAGTCTCCTGCAGACTATCAGGGAGCAAGAGAAGTCAAACCAATTGCAGAGTATGCTGTTCAGCAGGTATGATTTGTGAAATATGTGGAATGACATTTCCATTGCAAAAAAACATTATTGGTATGTGAAACTTTGAGTCTAAGAAATTATGCATTAAACATGAGATGTAAATTTGCTCTATTTTCAGTTGCCTTTCACCTTTTATTATTTCTTTTTAATTTCAACTAAGCAGGTTGTAATGGATGCCAATTGTGATTTACTGCAGTTCTATTTGACGTTGTCTGGATACCTTGTTTTACATTTCGTTCAATGTGCCTTTGTAAAAATGTTGGTTTTTTATTATATTGGTTGTACCCTCAAACTTACAAATGGTGGTAGAATGAATTACCAGTGATGATGTGACACCTATAATTTGTTGATGCTTCTCTTCTCATTGAAGGCATAAATAGCTCTAAAGAGAGGCAATTTTTGTTTGGCCAGTATCTGGTTGAACATAATCGTTAGTTACATTATTCAAAATTTTGAATTCCCTTTGTTCCTCATGTTGCTTATTATGTATGGAAGACAAGAAAACTTTTATGTTTATGTGAAACATTGAGCAAACACGTTGGCTCTCAAATAGCTTGGAGTGGAATGCATGGTGGCATGCGGACTTCTTTAAAATTAGACTCATCTAAAATTATCATGTTTGTTGTTTGTTTTGACTATAATTCAAATTATCACTTTGTTGTTTGCTTCAACTATAATTCCTTATTTCTTTGTTGAGTCTGAGAATTGAGATGTTTATTTTGTCTACTATTAAAATATCATAAGATTTTAGAGTTTGGACTTGTAGAGAACTATAACTAAGCAGCTATAAAAATGGGATGAGAGAGGAATAAGGGTGCAAGAAGGCTTTGTTTGCCAGGCCAAGGTCAAACCCAGGCCCAAACGATGAACCAAAAGTGAACCAAAGACCTGAACTAGGTCTATTATGGGCCCAGGAGAACCCATATCTAGGTAGCTCAAACCCTGCCCAGCTCATTCAACAAATGTATGAAATGAGGGCGCCCAAAGCGAGTGTCAGTTGTGCAGCTTGCACATTTTAGTCTTACGTCACCTTACTCGAGTTTAATTCTTATGGTGCTCATCTAGCTTTTTGCCAACTGTTTTCCACTCATCATCAAAAAACTTAATTAGCTGTGAGCTATAATGTAATAAAACATGATTCAAAACATGGTTGGATTAATTAACTAAAGTTGAGCTATGTTGATTCTGCCACCCAAAACATGGGTGGATTAATTAACTAAAATTGAGCTATGTTGATTCTGCCACCCAAAACATGGGAGGATTATGAAAAGTTTAATTTGCTGTATTCATCATCATCATCGTTCGAACCTTATCCCAACAATTTGGGGTATGTTATGTGAATTTTGCTCCACTATTCTGTGCTGTCAAGGGCCATAATCTTTGTCAGACAGTAACTCATCATTTCTCTTATCACTGCTTCCATCGATGTCCTTTTAGGCCTTTCTCTTACTCGTTTAGAGCCTTCCACTTGAAGCAAATCACCTCTCTTAACCGGTGTTGTTCTAGGCCGCTGCTACACATGGCCAAACCACCTAAGTCTACTTTCCTTGATATTATTACTTATTGAAGCTAACCATAAGTTTCCTTGGATGTATTCATTCCGAATTTTATCATTTCTTGACTTGCCACTCATCCATCTCAACATCTTCATCTTAGCTATAATATTCTATTAGTGTGTTGTTTTTTGACCGCTCAACATTCCGTCCCATAAAGTATGGCTGGTCTTACAGTCGTCTTATAGAACTTTCCCTTTAGTTTTATTAGTATGTGACGTTCATATAAGACTCCAGACGCACATCTCCAATTCTATGCACAACATCTTCCTCAATCCCTCCATCTCATGGATTATGGACCCTAGATATAAAAAATAATCTATTTTGGCTATTTATTGGTCCATCAATTTTAACTAATTCCTGGTTTTTACTTTTATTATTGCTAAACTTGCGTTCCATATATTCTTATTCGGGCTTATTTTAAAAGCTTTAGATTCTAGAGCAACCGTCCAAAGTTTTTATTTTTTGTTGGCACCATCTCTAATCTCATCAATCAAAAGCCATGTCATTTGCAAATAACATACACTACGGTACCTCATCCTGTAGATGCCTAGTTAACTCATACATAATCAAAGCAAAGAGATATGAGCTCAGTGTTGACCCTTGATGATGGCCTACTGTTATCGAAAATCACTTGTTACTTCACTAGTTGTCCTCACACCAGTCAAAATTCCCTCGTACATATCCCTCATCATATTAATATATCCTCTAACGGCTCATTTCTTTTCCAACATCCACTAAATTAACTCTCTATGTACCCTATCGCATACTTTTTTTAAATCAATAAAAACCATGTAGAGGTCTTTTCTCTTCTCCCTAAGCTTCTCAAACAATTGCCTAAGTAGGAAAATATCCTAAATAGTTGACCTCCCCGACATTAAATTGGACTGATTTTGCTCAATCACTCTGTCCTACAACTTCATAGTGTTATAAGTTTGATCCATTTGATAATACAACTATGCATGTACAACTTAATTTGCTGAATTGATGTATATCAAATAAACCACCTACTGTTATTTGGTTCGTCACTCAAAATTGAGGTGGATCATAGTTCTTGGAAACACTTGAAATTCCAATTATTTTAGGAATCAAAATCACAGTTGGCTAGAAGAATCTTTTTTTTTGAATTGACGTACGTATGGGAAAATTGCGGGAAACGAGATTCCTACTTTACAGGAATCAAGATTTGACCCAAATGGAATCAGGATCTCTGCATATGTGGATTCGAGGTTCTGACTTCTTTGGAATCAAGTTTCTAATCTATTTGTAATTGACCCATATGGAATCGAGATTCCTTCATATATGAAATTGAGATTCCGATAGTTTTGGCATTGAGTTTCTAATGTATTTAGAATCGAGATTCATACTAGTTTGGAATTGGTTTTCGACCTACTGGCAATCAAGAATTATAGCTCTATGGGGGCGAGTTTCAACCCCCTTAAAATCAAGATTCCTACATCAACGACATCTTGTGCCTTAAAAGCAATTGAGATTAGAGGTCTGTAAGACTCTGAAGAAAGGTTCCTTAGATTGAAATAGATGTATTGACTATTGAGCCTTAAAGACAATATTAGAAAGTAGGGTCACTTAGGGAATTTGTCTACAAAAAATGCATGTATAATCTCACGTATTTTTAAAATGTGAGGTTGTGATTTTGATTTCATTATTATAGTTTAAAATGGGATTTTGTCTGTGCCATGGTGTTGTTTGTATTGTAGTAGGTCCTTTGATAATGAGAGTGAAGACGTGGAGTATTCAATTTTCAACGTTGCAATGCCCAAGCTCTCTTAATTCTAATGCTCTAGCGCCCAAGTTATACTTGTCTTCTTTTACTTGTAAAAGAAGTTATACTTGCCTTTGTTACTTGCAAAAGACATTAGAATGATACTTGTTAAGAACCAAACTCTAGACATTTACATTTGAAAGTTGATGTATGGAATCAATACTTAGACAATGCATTCATCGGATTATTATTCGGAGCACATATGAACTGTGGGAGAATTATCTTCAGACTGATTCCAAATATCTCAAATCAAAACACGTAAATAGTTGAACCAACCCATGAGTCACATATTTGTGCACCTGGAACATAAGTATTTGATTTTGGGGTACTGCGATTCCAAAAAAGTTAGATCGAGATTCTATGAGGGTGGAAGCAAGATTTGATGTTATTTATTTTATGGTTTCTTGCATCTACGAATTGCGGTACTTGATGTTCAGAATTTGAATTTGAAAACAATCAAATCGAGTATCATTATATGTGGAATCCAGATTCAACAAATGTAAAATTGAGATTCAAGAATTAAGGAATCGTGAATCAATAAATATTAGAAACGAAACTCTATAAGTAAAATAGATCAGCTTCTGAAAGAGAATTTTCTTCACCTCTTTTGACATGGAATATTGAGTTTTGACCATTACAAGGAACAATCTGTTGATACCACATATGTCCTAAGTGCCACTGCGCTGGGATTCCTAGTTTAATAATGAGCACCAATTGTTTTGGACCTCAACATTTCAGTCCATGATTTCATGCAATTTCCATTGTTGAACACTCAACGAATGGTTGTCAGTATCAAGACACTATTTTCCAACTGTATTTGCCTGGAAACCCTCTCTTAGGGAGGGTTAGAAGCTGCCACTAGGTGTTTACTGGTGGAAGGCTCTTTTCCTGCCTTTCTTGTTACTGGCACTCACTCAGCTTTCTATCTCTTCCTCTCTCTCCCCTGTTGGAAATCCTGTTCTGCTGGCGAATTGGCATAGATCAAATGTGGCATAATGTGCATGAGTGTTGCTACTGTTTTGATGGGTTAAACGTTGAGATAAGGGTTTATGGAACTGAGCATGAGTCTGATTCAGAGTTACAGGAATTGCCCAACCCAGGTTTTGATTCCACTCTAAGAGCTCTCGCTCCAGCGCTCCACAAGAGGGATATTCAAGAGATATTTATTCTTAAATTTTGTATCTCGATCGCTCCTGTTGGAATCGATATCCCAAAAGGCTGGGAGCAATCCCAACCTTTTGAAGACTGCACTGTCTACTTTTACAGAAAATAAACATTGTGGTCTTAGAATAGTTCTTTTTTCTTAAAAGCACACTGCCTATTTCTGGTTCACAGTGGAAATTATAAAATTTAACAGTGGTCTTAATTTCTTGCACAATGCCAAAAGATTCGGAGCGAGATCGCCAATGGTTGGGATTAAGATCGCCAAAAGGACACATCAAGATCTCTAGAATACACATTATGCGGATGACGTTCCCTACTATAGGGGTCTTCTTGCCCTTTGGGATCCCCGCTTTTGATCTCTTAATCGCATCTGATCCTGCTCCTGACTCCAACAATTATGGTCTTTTTTTCATTATGAATCACTAAACCTCATGCACGTGATGTTCTAAAGATTTGGTTGTTAGTGTTCCTTTACCTGTTTTTTTTGTATTGCATACTTCAATGTTTTAGTTTTTATCTGCACACATGCAGAATAACTCTTTTAGTTTTGAACAGATTAAGGCACTCTTAAGGGATCGTTTGAATGGGAAGGCAGCTGGAGGGTCAAATACGAAGAGTGAAACAAGCGCGTCAGTGGAACTAAATTCTCGTAACTTTGATGAAATGGTCCTTAAAAGTAAAGACCTCTGGATTGTTGAGTTTTATGCTCCCTGGTGAGTTGGTTTAATTAATTAATGGTTTCATAGGCCTGGTGGTCAATGTGCTTATCTGAGACTCATCATCATCATCATCATTTTAGCCTTTTTCCCAATTAATTGGGGTTGACTACATGAACCCAATATGCTTATCTGTGACTTACCTTCCTAAAACCAGTAAGAAGCTGAAACCATAATTCGAGTTTTTCTATTTTGATCGACTGTGATCTGATTTGAGTAATATTAAACATCAGTCTGCATGGAGCTACGTAACATATGCTTTTCCTTTTCCCTTAAAATGGATATGTCTATCATTTTCTTTGGAAAAAAAGCAAAAATCTCTCATCCAATTCTGTACAACCTTATAAGCAAAGCATGTGCTAATTGAAAAGAGCACTTTCAACTCAACTGTCTTCGTCTTTCACTTCTAGGAAAAGATGCTGGAGAATTTTTGTTGAAACAAGTTCCACAAATCATAACTGGGTTGGATGGAAATCATGTCATGGTGTGGAAATTATCATGGATGATTAATGACTGCTCTTTTAGAGTTCCATTCTTGTACTATCTTTTTATATTCTTATGTCAAGCATGCTCTTTGAGGCATCTTTTGGACTCTCATAAGTCAGTGACAGTATGATCTTGTAGTTGATGTTTTCATCTTGAGTTTACCTGGAACGGTGCAGCATGTGATAAGATGAGATTTGCAGCCTCTCAACTAATACTAACTTAAAGTCATAGAATATAAATGAAGTACAATTGCCATTTACAGCCTATGCTTCCGGATATTGTACTTCTAATTTTGGAAATCATGTGTTCTAACCTGTGAAGAACAGTATACCTCGATAACTGTTTATTGAAAGTTCTGGTGGGAAATGAATCATGAGAAGGCAGTCTTTGGGTTTCTTAAGATATTTATGGGCATGTTAGGTTTAACAACTGCAACAAATCAATTTGGACGTAATTATCATGGTTCGATCACCGTGCTTTTTTATGTTCTTGGAGTGTTTGGGGGTGTTTTGTGACAAATTCAAACAAACTGGGAAATGACTACATAGTCCTTGACAAAGAAACCATGCCATTAAAATGGCCAATAATGCTGTATATGAAGAATCAGCTGATTTGAATGGAAGAAGAGGGCTTTTGGTAGCTGCAAGGTGAATAGTGTTCAGTGGCAGACTTGACAAATTGGGCCAATGGATTCCTAATGATTCAAAATTTTTAAGGAGGGATCTAAAGTGACAAAATGAGATGGTTTTTCCCCATGACTCATATAATTTGGAGAGGTGCACAAGTTTTGAAGTCAAGTTCATCGCGAAGCTAGACTACTATTGAGCTTCCTTGGGCTATAAGGAATTCATTCAAACCAAATCCTGTGTTGATCTTATCACATGAAGCTGAAATTAAGGGGTTATAGAGGATTGTTTGAAGAGCATAGGGGTGAAATATTGTTCAATTTGGAAATTGACAGAGGTATTGTTGCAGGTTGCTGCAAACTCGTGAAATGGTGTTTCACTCTGGTTTTGAAGTGGTTACCTTAATGGTCTCCAATCCAAACCAAATTTTTTCTGTGAATACAAGAATGTATTGGCATCTTATGTATAAATTTTACGGAATTTTGATGACATTAAAGGGGGCTAAATAAATCCAGTACAAGGAGTTTCTCAGTTGTTGCAATTTGCGGCAGGCTATTGTTGTCTTGCGGAGCTTCAGTGAAAATTTCATGAATTTTGGACATGTGTAGGGCATCCAAATAAATGGAGATTAGAAAGAATATCAATTTGCAGAATGCAGTCTGTGTAGATCAAGTTCATATTTGACTGTGATTTTGATGTCCAAAAACGTTATTATTTTCTATAAAGGTGCGGAAATGTATTGGGAGGTTTATGTAGTAAAAATTTCATGAATTTCGGAGTTGTTAAAAAAGAATCCCATTCTTAATAGTGACTGTTGTTTGTGGCAGACTCTGTTTAAACTGTAGGCTCTGCAGCAGACTTAGTTGACCATGCTAGAGGTCACCAATGGAGGTGAAATTTTTTGCGAATATAGATCAAGGTATTATGAGATTACAGTAAAATCCAGTGATTTTTGGAGACCTCAAGATGGGTCAATCGAATTTTTCTTCCTTCTTGACCAGTTTTATGCTGTAGAAAACTGCCTGGAAAATTGGTTCTGCCCTGGGAATTATTTAGGGAATCAAATGATCTTATGTTGAGGTGAAATTTTGTAGGAAAGTGTGGGATTGTATTGAGGATCTCTGGTTAAAATTTCATAATTTTTTGGACACTAGGAATGTGGTCATTCAAATTAATCATCACATGCTGCCAGGCTGTAAAGTGGATTCTAAGCATGATATGGGCATACAATCCTGAAATTAGGATTGCAAAACTTAAAAAGTTTATATTTATGGTACTTGATTTGAGTTTTCTTTCAAAATGTAGGAGTAATTTGAATTGATTTGGTGCTAGACATCATGGGGATAATACCATTAAGTGAGCCCTTGATTTTTTTTTTTTTAAAATTATGGTAAAAGAAATCAACGATTAGATAAAAATGAGCAGCTTTCCTAAAACTTGATTACTTCTGGGGAAGCAACTTGATGTTCAAATATCTCGAGATTTATAGCTTTGGGTGCAACCAGTGTTTAAAAAATCGGTGACGCAATCCAGAATAGGGCAATCTGGATCGGGAATCGCCCAGCCCATTCCCGGTTCTTGCTAAAAAGGGGGATCCGGCCTGATCCACCTTTTTATATGATTTTCCCATTAAAAAGTTAACACGTGTTGGGCCAATCTCGCACCATGACATCATCTCTATTGAGCCTTCCATCTCTACCACGTGGCTTTGCAGCTTGCAACCTGGCGTCATCTTTCTTTGGACCATGCATCACAATTGATGCCCTGCGTCTCAACACGTCATATCTATTAAAGTACCTTCAACTATTTTATAGGCTGATTTCCTCCCACATCTCTTTGATGTGGGACAAACTTCACATTGTCTTACCCGAAGATTTCATAGCATTATTAACTCATGGGATTGTACTTGCCCAAAAAACAAGCTCATGGGATTTTACTTACCCAGAAAAAAGCTCATGGATATATGAGTAATATTAGGCTATTAGATGTTAGCTAATTGGGTCTAAAAACAATATATATATTACTAACTCATAAGATCATAAAAAGGCAAAAAAAACACTAATACTAGTTTATTGACCATTAGAAGACTAGTTTATGGGATATTTTAAGAAAAAATTAAAACTAGCTCATACCACTTTAGAATTCATTTTCAAGTTGCTTTATCAATTATCCCACATTGCAAGTATGAATTTATTTATTTATTTTTCTAATTTTATTAAAATATGTTTGCAAATTTATGTTTTTAAACTACATATTTTAATCCACATTAATTATTACACTGTCGATTTACTTATTTTGAGGGTCATACCCTTGTTTTTTGAATCACATTTATTAGAATTTATAATTAATAATTATATTAATTACATCGATAATCAAATCTTTATAGTTTATGTATTAATTTATTTACATTATAAGGTATATAAGGTACTATTTTTTGTTATAATTGTAAATTAGATTTTTAAATTAGATGATCATATAAGACGAATTTCAAAATTTGTGCTTATTTGTATAGTAAAATGATTATAAAATATAAACTAATAATTCCAATTTCAATGTATAATATTATAGTTAGTTAATGATTATAAAATATAAACTAATAATTCCAATTTCAATATATAATATTATAGTTAGTTAGGTTATGATAATTTTGGATGAGTAAAGAGAATTAATAATGTTTGTTGTGATACTAATTTCACTTTATATGGGAAATTATTATTTTTAATCTATATGGAAGTGTTTTCTAATATTTTTAAAATATTTTGATGCAATATTATAATATTATATTATAATTAACAATTATACAGATATCCAGACATGAAAACATCTCAGTATTCACCTATTTTTACAAAGTAATGAAAGTACATCATGCACCACTCCTAATTTCTTTTAGAAACTAAAAGAACACTATTGTTAGAGATTTATAGTGATTTTTTGAAAAAGTTTTGGGACAAAAATTGCCGATTCGGCCAATTCTATGAATGGATCCACTGATTCACTGATTCGACATGGGTATGGGTGACACCAGTGATTTAAAAATTGTCGAGTCAGCACGGACTCGGGTGTATCGACACGAGACTCAGTCACCCCGTGTCGATTCCAATAAAATTCACAGTATCGCCTGGCTCGAGAGAAAAACCGGTGAGTCTGCTCAAGTCTCTACACTAAATAGCCCGTTTCTACTGGAAAACAGGCGAGTCCGCCCAAGTCTTAAATAGTAAACAGCCAGAGTCTCTACAGTGGACCGCCCGAGGGTAATTGGGATATTTTTTTTTAAAATGGGGTTTATTCTATTATTACGAGTCACCACGACCATCAAGAGGCCCCATGCCCCATGCATTTGTTATTGATATGAGCGTCCTCAGGTCTTTTATACCCGTTAATGGTCCTTGAATTTTTTGATGTGGGACAATTCCCACTGTAACAGTTTGAAAAGGTAATATATACTTTTATTATGAAAGTTAACATGTTACGTGGCATTGTGGCATAGTGGTTGTCATGTCCTTCTTTGATGGTAGAGGTCTTTCGGAATCTCTTGGGCAACATTCTTTTTTTAAAGAAAAAAAATTAAAACGTACCATCTTCTTACTGTTCTTGTCAAAAACAAATGTTTTTTATCAAAAAATAAAATAAAATAAAAGTACCATCTTCTTATTTTTCTTGTAAAAAAGAAATTCTTGTTTTCAAAAAATAAAATAAATTCTTGTAAAAAACAATTCTTTTTGTCAAACAAATAAAAATAAAAGGTACTTGGGCAACACCATATTCTTATTTTTCTTGTAAAAAAAAAAAAAAGGTAATGCAACAAGTATTTCTTGTCAAAAATAAATAAAAGTTAATACAACAGGTGTCATGTTTTTCAAACACTCATTTGAGCTGCGATTATCGTAAGCTTAAATTAGATATATAAAGGTAATACAATATAGACTTGAAGCATGTTAGCTTAGCTCTTTTTTTCTCTCTCATATATGAATGCCTATTGTTAGATTTTTTTTTTACTTAGGAATAAATGATCTAATTATATATTTTTTTTATAACATGGTGGTCTTTAACATAAATTTAGGAATATTAATTTAAAGATAGGGTTCATACATTGAGGCTATTTGAAATATCTCTCTCTCTCTCTCTCTCTACTAACAATCTCGTCCACTAAATTTATTCTAGAAACTTAAAAAACTAGATTTTTGGAAAAAAAATTCATTATAATTTATGCAATGTACTATTTTTTCTTATAGTTGTCAATAATATATTTTAAATTAGATATATTGTAAGATATTTTGGATTTGTTATTATTTGTATAGTAAAATAATTATAAAATGTAAACCAACAATTTCAATTTAAGTATATAATATTATAATTAGTTCGGTTGTAATAATTTTGGATTATAGTTAGTTAGGTTGTAATAATTTGGGTTTTTTTAGTGGATTAGGGTTTTCTGCCGATTTGAGATTTTGGTGGCTATTTCTTCATCGATTTAATCCATTCTTTATTGTAGTCCATGTATGATGATATACTCCATCAATGATAATTCTATGCTTATCCTTTTGTGTGATGTAAATTTAATGGTTAGCAGTAGTTCATGCTGGGAAAAAACATCTCAATATTCGCATATTGATGCAAAAAAATGAAAGTTCTTAATGGAGTACCCCCATTTTTTATTGGATTCCTAAAAACTAACATTTATAATGAATTTTAATAATTTGTTCGGATTTTTTTAAGACTAAATCCGACTGATTCGGCCGATTCCTGATCCGAATCGCCAATTCACCGATCCGGATGGGTTTTTGGGGTACTCGATCTAGGGCACCAATCCGTTTTTTAAACCACTGGGTGACACTAATTCGGGTCACCGATCCGTTTTTTTAAACACTGGGTGCAACTATAGTTAGCTCTTATAAAAAAAAAAAAACACTGGGTGCAACTATGGCCATTAGAAAGATCTTTTGATGGGTAATCAAGTTTGGTCCATGATAGAGGCTAGAACTTGCCAAAATTGATCGATTTGATGGATTTCAGTAGATGTTTTTGAGTTCATCCGCCTTTGTGCCAGAATTTCTAAAATCAGATTTTCCCTCCCTGACTCATGGGAAAGCTTTAATGAGCAGGTCATTTTCGTGGAATAATTCTTGGATATTTTTAGATTGGAAAATGCTCTAGAAACATTGAATGAGGAGATTTATACTTGCCAAAGGTTGAAAGTTTTACTTGGATATCAAGTTTCTCCCATTATATAAGGGTAAGGGTGTGATTCAATATGCAAAATTTGGACCATTCAAAATAGAGTTCCAGCACAAACTTGGGATAATAACTCAGAGGATAACTGCTGCAACTCACATAAAAAGCTTCAGATACAAGAGATCGTGATATTTGTTTGAGATAAAAGAGAGCAAAATCAGAAAATTCTAGAACAAAGATAAAAGAGTACTAGAGAGAGTCGTAATTTTGATCCCCTCATGTTGACAGGCAAGGTACATGGGATTCATATTAGTCCTAGGATCATCATAACTGGAATTTTTCTTCTTTCTGGAGTTCTTTAATCTCTTTGTAATCACGGATCAAAGGTGTTCTGTTCTTCTTATGAAAGTCGGACGCAAATGAAATGAGCACTTGGAACTCTTCCCGAACCAATGTGTTAATGAAAAGCTCTTGATTATTATGTGATCTTGAGTGAATTTGTTTGCTGATTTGTTTGCGTTCTCTGGTCTATGTGTTTGGAGTCGTGTCTCTCTTCAAAATTTCCTTGGTAGACAATTTAGCAAAACATGGAGCAATAAGAGCTGCTGGGACTGAAATATATTTTTTCTCTTCTTCCTCCATATCTAGAACTCTTAGTTGTCAGTACATTGTAATAGAGGGGCAAGTGAAGCACAAATTTGCTATTTTTGGAGCAAAGAATTTGAAGTACCAGTGGTCTACATCTGTATAAACTGAAAAATTTAGTGGCAAGGGCCAATGTGTTGGTGTATTAATCAATTCTGGGTAACAAGCCTCAACAGTAGTTACTCCATGCATAACTGGGCTTCTTTTAGATGTTTTCATTTCATGGCATAATTATGTTACAATTTTTTGTTATGTTCATATTTGTAACACGCATTCTGTTTTTACAGGTGTGGGCACTGTAAGAAGCTTGCACCTGAATGGAAAAAAGCTGCAAATAACTTGAAAGGAAAGTTGAAGTTGGGCCATGTTGACTGTGATACTGAAAAGGTATATCTTTCCTAGACATTCACAATAAATGGTGTTGATGACTTGGGATAGCCCCATATGTTGGTGTAGTGTACATATGACGTATCCATGACTTACTGATTTTCGGAATGCTCATAGATTCGTAATTCTTGAAACAGTCATAATTTCTTGAAGGTTCACATTGTTGCTGCTATGATTATTATTTTTGTTGGTTTCTCTTTCTTATGGAGTCACCTATTAGTCAACACTGGGTTATTGTGGTCGGTTTGACCTGGTTTAGGTTGAAGATGCCATTGGCTGGTATATATAAAACCTATATGGTATAAATGGGGTTCACAACTTTTTGAGTCGATGTCCCATCTGGCTTGTGTGTATGATCTCTGTTTAGGGTAGGCTTTCTTTTAGTTATAACCTTTTCAAGTTAATCTTATGCTTTGAAAAAGGCATGGTAGAATTGGCTCAACTCATTAGAGTTTTATAAGGGGCCCATTAATACCATATCCATTAGCCGTTGAGAAGTTTTAAATCCACTAAAAAGGTATATTTCATTACTTATTGATTATGGTTATCAATACCATCCCTAGTATCTCTACCATCCCTATTATCTCAAATGACAAATGCCAATGCATTCTCATGCAGCAAAGAGCCAAAATACTCCTTGTGGAATGGTATACATATTAGATATAAATATGCATATTTCAACTCTTCCATCCAGAACCTTGCACAATGAAAAAGATATAACGTAGCCATTTGTTATACGAATGGAATTCTTCTAAACTAAATTGAAGTAAATTAATACTTTCAATCTAAGGGACTGCTTCTTAAGCTTCTGTTCCCCGCATTCAAATCTACTCTGGTGGAACTTTATTCCTGCTGTCATATTTATCTGCAATGTTGCATTAAATTGTAAAAGCTTTGGTATTCTTGTTTGTAACATGAGGTTTTCTCAGTCTCTCATGAGTAGGTTCAATGTGCAAGGGTTCCCCACAATCTTGGTGTTTGGTGTTGACAAGGACAGCCCATATCCCTATGAGGGTGCAAGAGCTGCTTCTGCAATTGAGTCATTTGCCCTTGAGCAGCTTGAGACAAATGTTCCTCCACCTGAAGTGACCGAGCTTACTGGTCCGGTGAGTTAATGCATCTATCACTCTTCTCAGATTGTTATTGGTTTTTGTGCAAAGAACTACTTTTTTTCTTGAGAGGGGGGTGGGGTATGGTTGGGTAAGTTACCAGGTTTGCCCAAATTGTGTATTTGATAGTAAAGTAAGCATTGCTATAGAGAAGTCAAATAACTGCATCTCTGTAAGAGTTTTGAATTGTTCATTTGTTTCTTTCTAGGAAGTGATGGATGAGAAGTGTGCTTCTGCGGCTATCTGTTTTGTATCCTTCCTCCCAGACATTCTTGATTCAAAGGCAGATGGGAGGAACAAGCATCTTGAACTCGTCTTATCTGTGGCTGAGAGATTCAAAAGAAATGCATACAGGCAAGTTCTCAACAGACTGGTAATCATCCATAAACATAGCAAGGGTTTTAGTTAATTGGCAGTTGATTTCAAGCCAAAGTTCTACTGAATAATGAATAATGGGGTGTTTTCTATCTTTAGTACTTTGAGCAATGAGTTTTGACATTGAAGATGATTATTGTAATTGCCTGATTTGATGGGATGAACTGTTTAGTATATCATCTTCTACTGGGTTTTGATGCCCTGGTAAGGCATGCGGTTTGTGCAAGGGACATCAGATTTATTCAAAGATCCAAGCCACACTCATCAACCCTGTTCAATTTACCAAAGTTGTAGTTTCATACGAAAATTTTTGTGAACTCTTATTCTTCTTATATTCGTTGAATCTGAATTGAGGTGTTTCTCTTGCAGCTATGTTTGGGCAGCTGCAGGAAAGCAGGCTGAACTTGAGAAGACAGTTGGTGTTGGTGGATATGGGTACCCTGCGTTGGTTGCCCTCAATGTTAAGAAGGGTGTCTATGCTCCCCTTCGCAGTGCCTTTGAGCATGACCAAATTGTGTAAGGATTTCTTTGTATTTAATCATTTATTTTTTGGTTCCTTTCATTTCTATTGACTAGCAATTCAATGGCTTTGAACGGGAGTTCACTCCTGTGCTTTCCAATGGAGTACTGTTTAATTGGTAGAGAAATTCAATTTGATTTACAGAGAGTTCATCAAAGAAGCTGGACGTGGGGGTAAAGGCAATTTGCCGCTCGAGAGTGTACCAATTGTCACGAAAACAGAGCCATGGGATGGTAAAGATGGAGAGATCCTTGAAGAGGATGAATTCTCTCTTGAAGAGCTTATGGGGGAGGATGCTACACCTAAGGATGAATTGTAGTGTTCATTATAGAAATCCCAAGAGAATAATTTTTGATGAGCCTAGTGAATTTGGTTTCTCTTATAGTTGGGAGGTGGAAAAATCTTTCTGCTTGCATGGCACCTCCTTTTCTATAAAGGACATGGTTTCTATGAGTCCGTGTAGAAATGAGTCACCTCTTAAAACTCTAAAACTCTATTTGAGATGGAATTTTGGACTCAATTTTTTAGGACATATAATCTCTACCATGGAGAATATGAATGTGAACAAATAAATAAATTTTAAAATTGGATGCTTTATACCTTAGGACCGTATATTGTAGAGGTCCAGCCTGCATAAAACAATTTTCCTTCCATGGCCTTATTTTGATGAAGGTTAGGTCCGTAGTCAACAAATGTCGTTAGAGAATTACGCTAATAATTTTGGTTTAATGAAGTCCCATTGGGAAAAGCCTTTGATGGTCTTCATTTATCTTGATACGTCTTGTTTAATTCGTGCAGGTCTCTCGATTGAACATCAATAAGAGTTGTTTCTCTACGAAGGCCCCCAGATGCCTAAGTTTAGAGGGACAGCTCCGTGCTTAAATTTTCAAGGGTTTGGAGAACTTTGCCTTTATTTCCTAGTTCCATTGCCATTTGGCCTTGAATATCTTCAGAGATAATTTTCAGTTTTAGGGTCTTCCCTGAACTCAGAGAGTCTGAGGTTGATGGACATGTTGAAAAAATTAAAGAGGACTCTATTCCTAGAGATAATGTAGGTCAACTAATTTTTATAGGAGTTGAGGGTGGGCTCCATGTGAGAAAATTGAGATAAGTAATTATTAAAAAATCGAGGTAACTACTAGGGTGAATATTTTTATAGATATATAGAAATAAATATTAATTAATAATAAAATTGTAGAGCAGGTTTAGAGGCAACACCATTTTTATAAGTGTAGGGCCCATCTCCTTAGCTGTTTTAAAGGTACGCACAGTTTTAATAGATGGGAAATTAATAGATATAGAGGAATAAAGATTACCATTTTAATAGATATAGAAGAATAAATCTTACGTAACACCAAAATCCTAGAGCTACGGTAATAAATATTAAAAAACAGTAAAATCCTAGTGTTACAGCAGATTCATGGAAATAAAGGTTATTTAATAGCAAAATCCGAGTATCACATCCTTTCTTCCAAGGGTTACATCTCCTTGCCAGGAAAAGTATTTGGTGAGATAGCCAACTCGTCAATTTATACTTAAACATGGATTTTACATTTAAAATTTTAGAATTTGTTATTTTAAGACTATAATAATTGGTCATAAGGTTGATTAAGTAAAACATGAATCAACTAAACTAACTTTTATCCCGTCCAAATCATGTGAAAACAGTTGGAACGGTTAAATTATGTAATATCTAATGGATAATGTTTTTTATCTTTTATTTAAATATAATATTTATCTAAAATTTATAGTGTAACTTATTTTTTATAAGGGAATCAAATAAAATTAGTTTGCAGCCCTTCTTACATATCACAAATAAAAAATAAATCAAAATGCCTTAAAAAATATTACTTTGTTAGTTCTTCGTCCCCCTTATAAAAAATAATTTAGTCCCAAATTTTCAATAAATAATTTTTTTTTAAAAAAATAAAATTACTTTGTAGCCCTTTGAAGAGGCTAGGTTCAATCTCAACGGTTTAAGGGTGAGTGTACAATTTTCAAGCATCCACATGTTGTGGATGCTATAGAATCCCGTCATATTATGATATTTCTTTTTTGTAGTCGGGAGAACATAATTATTTGTACAAATTGTAAAGAAGGATTACGTGTTTAGTATACTTATTAATTTTTAATAAATATGTTTAAAATTATATACGCTATAATTGTTGTTATTTTAAAACATTTTGGATTTAAATGATGTTAAAACATGTTGTCTGGGGTTTGTAAAGGAATGCATATCTACCGTAAATATAGATAGTATGTCTATACCATGCTTTTCAAGTCTAAAAAATAATAACAAATGCTATAAGTTAATATTGTTCATAAACATTTAATGAGCCATTTTACTCACAAACTATAAATATCATTAGTTTTTATGGTTTAAATAATTAAATAGTATAAATAATTTTAAAATTTATCATTCAGATAGTGGAGGAGATTAATAGGAAGAAAATACAGATTACATCACGAGTAATTTATCACTTCTTTGTATCTATCTAAACCCTAATCCCATAAAAATTATGAATTTTTTTAATTAAATTTTTTTTTTTTCAAAAGGTTCAATAATCAAAATAACTTGAAAAGATATATCCATAAAATGTATCCATCAAGTAAAATACAATGAAGTTCTAACCAAATCAAAACAAATACTCGAATCTATTGATTAACTATATCTCACTTTGTTATTGCGAAATCGATTAACTATAGTCTCACTTCTTCGTATCTATCTAAACCCTAATCTCAAAAAAATTATGAATTTCTTTAATTAATTTTTTTCAAAAGGTTCAATAATTAAAATAACTTGCAAAGACAAATCCATAGAATGTATCCATCAAGCAAACTACAATGAAGTTCTAAACCAAATCAAAACAAATACTCAAATCTATTGATTAACTATAGTCTCACTTTGTTATTGCACTATTTATCAAAAAATAAAATGGTCAATAAAACTAAACCTATGCTATTCTTGCTGCAAATAACGACAAAATAAAACTTTCATTTTTGAGACTTTATACATATTTTCCCTCTTTTCATTTTGGGACTTTATACATATTTTCCCTCTTTTCCTCTCTCTTTCCCTCTTCCCCCCCTTCTCTCTCTCTCCCTCTTTAGGCCAATTGCCTAGTCATAGACCTATCTTCTCCTCCTCTCTCTTCTCTCCTCCCTCCTGTCTTTCTCTCACTCACGGGCCAACGGCTTAGCCACGGCCCTACTCTATCTCTCTCATCTTCTCTCTTTTTCCCCCCTCTCTCTCCCCTCGGGTTAACGGCTTAGCTATTGCCCCGTCTCTCTCTCTCTCTCTCTCGCTCTCTCTCTTT